CGGGGCAGGGGCTGAGGGGGGCGCGGTGGGGCTGCCCTGGGTGGGCTCTGCCTGCAGCCCCCGGCCCATCCATCCCCAAGGGGCCCTCTCACAACGTGGGGGCACAGGGCCCCGGGTGACAGATGCGGAGGTGGGCCGGCTCAGAGCTTCGCCTGCCCGCTGACCCTGCGCCCTGGACTGGCCCGCCCGGGCGTCCTCTCAGGCCAGGGGGGTGCGGCAGCCAAAACCGCAGGCGTCCGGGAGCGAGCCCCGCCCAGGGCCTGCGCCTGGCCTGGCCCCGCCGCGCTGTCCGTGTGGGCTGGGGTGCCGGGAGGGCCTGCCCGCGCCGTCAGCCCTTCTCCTGGGGGCGCCTCCCCGGCACGGGTGGCTCCGGATTCCTGGAGGGTCCCTGAGCAGGAATTTCCAGATCCCGCCTGGCAGGCGGCGGTGGGTGCGGCTGCCGCGGCAGAGCTGGTTCCCCGGCGTCTCGGCCGGCGCCGCCCCCTGGGCTCAGCAGTCCCCGCGGGGCGCACGGCGCCCAGGCCACGGGCCACGGCTGCCCGGGCTCTGGCCAGGGCCCAGCTGGAACGCGGAACCCCTGCAGGTCTCCATGGAAGGGGCCGGCCGGGCGGCGTCCCCCCAGGCCGCAAGAGGACCCGGGGTTGGTCCCCCGCGGCGGGCTGGGGAGGGAAGGGCGGGGCCTTCGGGCGCTGGTTCCACCAGAGGAGCCGGAAAGGGCCACGGCCAGGGGAAGAGCTGGACGCTGCGGCGGCCCCGCCGGACCCAGCTCCCTGCACGGCCCCAGCAAGGGGCAGCTGCTCCGCACCGTGCCTGCCCTGCGCCCCAGCCCCTGTGGACAGCAGCGGCCGCCAGGGCCGCCTTGGCCACACCCGCCCCCACCCGAAGGCCCTGCCGGAGGGGCCGCGGCAGGGACCCAGGGCAGGCGCGCAGGCTGGCGGCGCCGTCTCCTGAGCCAGGCGCAGGGGCTCTGCCTCGCCCCTCGCTGTCCGTTCACCCGCTGCCTCCTGGGCCCCTCCTGTGGTCACCGAGTGCCGGGGCCTAGACCCTGGCTGGGCTGCGGCGGGTGGCAGAGCCCTCGCCCGGAGGCCACCAGCTGCCCGGGGCAGCCCCAGCCGCCTCAGTCCTGCCCACCTGGACTGTGGGGCCAGGTCTGCTGCTGAGTCCTGGCCATTTCCAGGAGGCCCCAGTGGGTCACCACTGGCAGCCAGGCAGTGGTCCCTGCACGCCAGGAGGGCTAGTGGCGGCTCTGGCTGACCTGTGGGAGTCCCTGGCCCACTCGGGACCTCTGGTTGCACCCCACAGGCCTGGTCCCCAGACTGGCCACCCCCCACCCTCATGCAACCCCCCCTGGGCGGGGTCCCTGGCCAGAACCTGTCTCTGCCCTTGGGAAAGGAAGCCCCGCCCCTTCGAGGCCCTGCCCGCCCGGTGGCCACCTCCTCACAGACCCGTTTTGCTGAACTCAGGAGACGTGAGGGCTGAGATCGTGGCCAGGCGACAAACAGGCCTGGCGTGGTGACCTGACGCTCAGCAAACACAGGCGTCCACAGCGTGTAATTACCCGCCCCGCCCGGCCGTCCACTGGACGCCCCCGCCTGTCGCGGCTGCTGGGGACCCGGCCGGGCGGGGTGGCCGCGTGCTGCACACCTGAGGGCAGGCCCGTGGCAGAGCTGGACCACACGGCCAGCAGGGCAGGAAGGGCCCAGTGCTGGACTCCCCTTCCAGGCCCCAGAGGGGCCTTGCCTGAGTGGAGCTGGGGGGCTGCAGGAGGGGCCGGGGGCCCCCAGGGGGGGCTGGCCGCAGTAGACAGTGAAGCTACACTGCTCGGGGCAGCTTGACATAGCGTGGACCCCACGCCGGCAGGGGTGGCCAGCAGGTCCGCACAGTGAGGGGCCAGGACGGAGCGGCCTTGCGTCCCCAGGGGCTGGGCCGGAGCCAGGCCTCTCCTCGACCCGCTGAAAGCCCCCCTGGCGGCCTTCCTGGGGGACAGCTGGGCCTCCCACCAGGAGCAGGACCCCAAGATGGGCACTGAGGGAGAGAAGGACTCTTCCTGGAGAGGCTGGTGCTCCCGGCCTGCTGGGCTCGCCTGCTGGCCCTGGGCCCAAGCCAACGGCTGTGCCAGCCAGAGTGGCCTAAGGGAGGACAGGGCCCTCCCCGGAGACCGGCCTCTGCGCCAGGCGCCCCCACACTGGCTCCAGACCAGGAGACGGCCCACGAGCTCCCGTGGGTGCTCCCGTGGGTGCTCTGGGGCAGCCACGGGCCGTGGCCGCAGCTGGCCCTCACTGCACCAGCTGCAGCGCAATGCGGCTCCCGCACCTGGTCACACAGGCCTGCCGGGCTGACCACTGGGCCGGGGAAGCCAGGTTCACCCTCCCGGTCAGCCAGGAGGTGCCGCCGGCCCCTGCTGACCTTCCCACGAGAGCCAGATGCCAAGAGCAGCAGCCGGAAAACAGGGCGCAGGGCCGGGCAGACACGGGCCGGGCCCCTGGTCCGAGCGGACGGTCAGCCAGGGTGGCGGCCCCAGATGCCACAGGGCCTGCAAGCTGCCCCAGGGACACAGCCGCCTGGGGTGTCCAGGCCCAGCTGTGTCCGTCCCGTGGGCGTCTGAGAGCCGGCAGGAGGACACCCCGCCCCCCGCTGCTTCTGCACGTGTGGGCCCCGTGGGCCCCGTGGGCCCCGCAGCCCACGCGAGCAGGCGCGGCCAGGGAAGCCACCCCTGGGGCCCGCGCGGCCGGGGCCGCGCCTCTGTGGGGCTCCCTGGACACTGCCGCGGCCCCCCAGCTCGTCCTGCCCCGAGCCGGCGCCCACCCACACTGACCAGGCCGGGCCTGCAGTGACCAGCCGCTGCCTGGCAGGGTGGCCGTCGGCGTCGCAAGGTCTGGTAGAGATCGTGGACGGGGCCCCGGGCATCCGGGGGGACGAGGGGGAGGCTCAGGCAGAGGCAGCCTCTGGCCCACGGCGACTCAGCGGGCAGGCAGGGGCGGCCATACACGGCTCTCGCCGGCCACAGGTGGGGCCCCGCCCGCCCGCCCAC